CATTTGCTGCTGCATAATGGAACTTTTCTACCTCTTGGGTGTAAGCTGCGCTTGTTTTTAGTGCATCAACACACTCAGTTTATCAGGTCCAAATTTTGCAGCCAAATCGTATTGGTATTAGTTGGATTTGCAACTGTATTTTTGTTTATACAGGCTTGATTCTTAATCACCCAAGGAAGGAGAGGATGCCATTGCCATTGATTAGCCTGCATCAAGAGAATGCAGCCAGACGAATTTTACTCAGCGAGAAGGCAAAGGTTCCTCTTTCTTCTCTTGAGCAAAGCACGTTTAACAAGTGTTGACTTCTGTCTTTGGTGGCATAAAAATGTTGAAGCACCTGCTCCTTTCAAACCTACTCAATTCAGATTGCAGCCCCACCAGGCATGCTTACATAGTTACATGAGGCTTTATTAATTACAACATAAGAGGATAGTTCAGTTCTGTTCTTTGCATGTTTCTGTGGCCCGGTTTGCCAAGTTTCTTGGAAAGCTTTCAAAAAGGGAAGAACAAACGATCAGAATTGTTCAAAAATATTATACCCATTAGCCTTGAAGTGTTAAATGCTGAAAATTTGAACCTCGAAATGGGTGCCATAAGCCCATGTGCCATGAAGAAATTCAATATAGGAGATTGAATATGAAAGAAAAGTACTTTGGTATTTCCATTTCACAATGATGTATTTATAGTACTAAAATTAAATAATAAAATAAGTTTGAAATGTAAATAGTTATATATAAGATTTGAATATGTCATTCTTTGTACTTGTCTCTTATTTTTGAATTGAGCCGTGTCTACATATTTTTATGTCATCATTTGTGCTTGTCTCCTGTTCTTGGATTGAATTTTATCTGTATGTTGATTGAGCTTTATATGCTTGTTGTTATGACGTCCTTAGCACTTGTTTTGAGTTTTATCTGCATGTTGTGTTAACTGACTAGGATGACTCGGACAGGCTCTTAGGATGACTTGGACAAGTTTTTGTTGAGAGTGAACCAAATTCCCACATTGCTTAGTTTCAGAACAATATAAGGCCTTATAAGTTCAAAGGTGGGGGGTCTAGCTTGTCCCTTCGGGGACATCCGATAAAATTGGAACGATACAGAGAAGATTAGCATGGCCCCTGCGCAAGGATGACACGCACAAATCGAGAAATGGTCCAAATTTTTTTCTGATTTTTCCCTGTAATTTCTCCCATCATCCATTCTGCAGTCTCAAAGTCTTCCATCTCTTTCTCTGTCTGGATCTGTTGATTATTCTGCATTTTTACAGGTCTCTTCCATCTCTTTCTCCGTTTTCTTTTCATCTTCATGCTTATTTTCATGTTCATTTTGATGGGTGTGGTCAATAATTGTTATACTTCAGATGTTAGAATATGCTAATTGAGTCTGGATCTGTTGATCTTTTTATGGTGATTTGCAGGTGGTCAATTCTGTGTATCATGCCAAAATTTTTTGTTTTCCCTGGAAATTAAAGGGCATGGTTGATCTATGATGCATGATGTGTTCTTCTACAAACTGATGCTGTAGCTGCTATCTATAAACTCCCACTCTTTGGGTGTTCAATTTTCCTTGGGCGGTGTTCATAATATCTTGATGCAGTTAAGTGTGTCTGGAGGTGTAAGAGGGGAAAACAGTCCCAGAGGTTTTGTTTGCTTTTCTTACATGTCCTGCTTTCCTGAGGTTTTCTGATGGATTCCTGGCTGGGGTCATTTGTAGGCTTTTGGTGTCTTTTGATTGCATTTTCCCGTGGATTGAGAACTTAAATGCTGTGTGATGTTTTGTTTCTCAGGGCTTTGACCATGGCTGTTTTTTGTAAGTCGGTCTTCTGGCAGTTTCTAGACTGAAAATCTCTCGGTTGAGTATTGCTTCTTTTGTATGTAAAGAGTTCTAGATGCAATGAATCTTCTTTAATTTTCAAAAAAAAAAAAAATTCCTTGGTAGAACCTGGATTTATGATACAGGAAATGACTTCTCTTACTAATCTATGTACCCTTTTTCTTATTCTTTGTTTTGGTAGAGATGGTGCTTGAGTTGATATGGTCTTTACACTTGACTCTTGAGCTGAATCCTTATAAATAGTGCTTAATTGCTTATATTTGCTAGTCATTAGTGCTTGTCTCATGTCCTTTTATGCTATAGAACATAAGGAAGATTCAAGGAAATGATGTATAATGGAAATAGAGAAGTGCCCCCAAATTGATCAAGTCTTCTGCAGCTCCTCTAATTGGTTGCAAAATTATGTTGCTAGTCAGTAACTTGGAGCCAGTGTGAAGGTTGAGACTAAGAGGCTGAAGCTTCTTTAAATGGCAGCTAAATCCTTTGTATCAACGATTCTTATAATCATGTTGAATCCCCTGGAAAGAATTTGCTGCATGATGGAACTTTTCTACCTCTTGTGCTGAATTCTGTCTTGTTGTCCTCTGAAACGAACTCACCTAATAATGGATTATTCCCGAGGGCTGAGTAGCTGGAACAATTTCTATCTTTAGAATAAGAATTTTATTTTTCTTTTGAGATTAATGCTGTTTTCATATGAAGGAAATCCCATGCCTTATAACTTGAGAATAATGGGTTTTTCAAATAGATTGAACTGTCTTGATATTGCATCCCTGGAAAAACCCATGCCTTATAACATGAGATTAATGGTTTTCATATGAAGAAAATCCCATAATTCAGTCAGTCATATTGATTGAACAGCCTTAGATGCTGTAACCCTGGAAACATGTCAATGAATATTTCTCTTGAATTCATGCATGCAGCTGTAGTATTTGGCCACAAAGATGAGTAGAAAGTTGGAGGAGGTGAAACAGTGCCATGTTCTTGCAACTCAAATGACTGTTAATTCTGAATCTTGGAACTTCAAAGATTGAGTAGAAGTTCTTTCACGTTGTCCGTGATTGTACAATGTTATGCAACATACCTGAATCCAAACGCACAGAACCCGAATCCGAATCCGGTCGATTATGGAATATTTGCTGTGACGGAGACGGCGTGGCGTCGGTGCGGCACATGGGGCAACTCGAATGAGAATAGAGCCACATATCAATGCAGGGTGCATGGTACGAATGCAGGCATTCCGGCAACGTTCTCAACTCTTCACCCTCTTCGAACTGAGACAAGCAGACCGCGCACATTCCGTCGTCATCGACCAAGCCCATGCCCTTTTGGTACTTATGGGCCGGGATGAGTTGGGCTGCTGAAATCTCCGAGCTTGGTACCGCCGACATTTCATGCCTAAAAGAATGTTGCGGTTGCCGACGCCGTGCTTGTTGTGGCCTTGGGATTTGGGTATCACGGCGGCACCACCCCATGGCGATGCAATGGTAGATTGCTACCACCAAGGCTGCCGATCCGATGCCCATTAAAACGACGGACAATTTGGCGTTTTCGAAACCGTAATCGCTTTCCCCCATGGCAGAGAATGAACCATTAAACAAAAAACTATGCTCGGCGTTTTGGATACTAAGAAACATTTTTTTTTTTTTTAAAGGGTGCAACACGAGGACTACTAAGAAACATTTGAATTGTGTTGGGCATTGCTTTGGCGATGAATGCAAAGATTAGCATTGTCCTATGAAGAATATTATAATATCAGTGAAAATTACATCAAATCATTCACAAAGTTGTAAGGAGAATTGGATTGATCAATTTCCTTGATAATACTTAGAATTCCTTTTTACTACATTTGCTAATAATGTTATATTGCAATTATTTTTAGGGTACATGTAAAAGTTTTGGGTTTGAATTACATAAAATGGGACATATAGTATTGGAATTTATTTCATGTGTAAATGTCACGAGATTGTACTTTCAATTCAAAAATATATTAAGAAATTCTTATGATATTCTATTTCATGGACTTTGTATTTTTCATGGAAGTCGAAGAGTTTGATAAACTCTAATATTATTTTTTAAAAATCCGTAATTTTAATTCAAAAAATATATCTATCAAGTGGAGGAAATTTTGATATCTATCTTATCTTTGTAATACGGATCTTTTGTTTTTATGCAGAAGAAGCAATACATTATCCAATGATTTTTTTTTCTTTTTTTTTTCCCTCTTTCATAGTTGATAAAGCAATTAGGATGCCAAATGCATAGCTTCTATGACTTTACAAGGAATTTAAAAGCTTCAAATTGTACCAACAAGAATTTAATAATTGAAATCAATTGGAAATTATTCTACATGGATTAATAAAGAATAGGGTCAAAGGATTCAGCTAAAATGGAAGAGGGGATATCTTCAATGTTCCATTGAAGCCAAACATGAACCAAATCCATCCATTTTGTTGGTAATCAGATGTGGCAAAAAGAAAGAGGAAGTTGGGCCCCTTTTTTGAAAGCTTTTTCTCAATGAATTTGAGCTCAACTACTTATAAAAGTGAAAAGGATGGGGGAATCTTCAATGATGCTTCTTTTTGAATTATTATTCATTGTTTGATTAGCAAAAAGCCAATCACTTATCAATTCCATGGACCAGAAAAAAAAAAAAGAAAAACCCAAAGATAAGGTCTCCAAACTGGAATAACCTGAATCTCAAATCAAAGCAGCCTCTATTTGAGACTTTTTCCTTTTCCCTTTTGATAAGGAAAACTAGAGATATACTTTTTTAATACAATTTATACCCTTTTTTTTATTCTTTAGGTTCAATACACTTTTGCTAGTGGACAGAATAATGGTTGGTCACCAAAAAAGAATGGAAAGAAAATGGGGTAGGAGGAAGCTTTTTCTCTTTTCTTTTACCTTTTTTTTTTATTTGGTTGAAAAGAATAAGAGAGAAGAAGAAGAACAAAGAGGTTTTGATCATACTATTCCATACCTTCAAAGTTTCATAAATAAGAAAAAAACCTATTAAAATTGAGAATGCATAGTTTAATAAAGCTATAATATTTTTAAAAAAATTTGAATTATTTAATTAAAATAAATTTTTATTCTTCAATTACATTTAATCAGATCCATGTACATTTATTTTAGAGTCAAATAAGTATTTATTATTAATCATTGATTAATTATCATTAGTTAAAACATCACTTTAATTATGTTATCATGTAATATCAATATTCAATATAACATGTCAACACATTAGGATAACCCCATATAACATAAAATGACATTGAGTAATGACAATTAGTTAATGGTCGATTATAAGAGCTTTTTTGATTTAAAATAAAAATATAAAATTTGATTAAACATAAAAAATAATAATTTTTTTAAAAAATTTCATGAATAATTTAAGATTTTTTAAGTATTATGTCTTTAATAAATAAATTCAAACTGCAATCAATCAAGTGAGAAATTAAAAAAAAAAAAAGAAGTCTCCCTATTTTAAGCCCGGATTGAATTTTTATTTTCTAATTTATATCTTCTTATTCAACCAAATATAATTTAATCTCCATTTTATTTCTATAAATGTTTTTTTTTGTGTCGAAATAATACAAATTGTCTTTTTGCTACCCTGAAAAGCTTCTGCTTTCATTGCCTCTCCACAATTTTTCCACTTAATAATTTATAAATAATTTATCATGTTCCAAAAAGAGAATAAAAAAACAAAACAAAAATTTTGTCACGTTCTAATGATATGTGCATCCTAATAAGCTTTGCATAATTAGAATCTTTATTTTAATATTATAATAATGTCACTAAGGAAGAAACACATTAAAAAATTCAATTATGAGATAATTAAAAATTATACAAAATACTAATCATATAATAATATAAGAAAGACAATGAAAAGAGGAGAGTAAACTAGTTTCAACATTCATGAATTTATTATACTTAAAATTGTTGTTTGAATAATATAATTGCATAAAGCTTGTCAATGAATACTAGAACTATATTTAATTAATTAATTTATTTATTTATTTATTAAGTTGTCTTACATGAATGAACATAACCCACACAAAAATTGATGGATCACTTTGAATATTTAAAACTTTTCCACATATTGCATATGCACGACATCTGTATGAATTGATGAGATCATTGCAAAATTATTTTATATATATATATATATATATATATATATGCACGTTTTATCTATATCATAGATCTACTTGCACATTTCAAGTCAAAATTTATTTTTTAAAAAATATATTTATTAATTATTAAATTTAGATTAAGATTAAGAGTTTTGTAAAGTTTTAATTTTATTTATCTTAAATTTCATATGATAATTGTTTATACATATTTACGAATATGGATATCGACCGATACCTTATAAAAGAGTATGCAGGATTACCTACTTTGATTACGTAGGATTATGATATTTTATAACTTGATTTAAGTAAATTAATTAATTTATATATGAATTATAATAGACTCACCATTTTAGAGTTATATAACATAAATAATGTAGATTTATGGCAATTATTTATATATTAGAAAAAATAGAAAATCAAATAACCAAATTTAAGATTATAAGTTTAATTAGGTAAGATTTAATATATTTTATTTTCTCTTTTAATTCTAATTGGAAAAAAAAAAGAAATCCTTAAAATAAAAAAGGAAACTAGCACGTGTCTAACACGTGCTCCAAAATACACGTGCTCCTCAATTAGTATTTTGGGGGCAGTTGTTTGTACTTTCCCAGACGACGTTATAACACTCTATGCCACTGTTACTCTTATCAGATAGAGGGAGACGCCTTGTTTGACCGTTGTTTTTCACTTCCCAGTTCAATCCAAACAAAAAAAAAATTGGCCGTCAACGTTTCCGTTAACTAACGTCGTCAATTCTTAACGGTCGCCGCTGCCTCCTTCATTTCCATATTCAATCCGTTTTCTATCTCAAAGGGGGGATCATTATTCAAGCTCTCTAATTTCTCTGGATTCAAGGCCTCTCCTTTTAGGTAATAATAATGAAAATGAAATTTCTTTTTATTTTATTTTCTCTTATTTTTTTTAGGGTTAGGTTTTTTTTTGTGTGATTGATTTGATTGCTTTTCAATTCTGTTCTTTTTGCGACTGTTAATATTCGGTTAGATTTTATTGGATTCTGGTTCATGTGGAATCTTGGGTTTGCTCTTTTCTTTTCTTTTCTTTTTTCTCTTGTTATATTCTGTGTGGTTGCTGGGAGAAAATCCATAGAAAGTGAAAATTTTGAATCTATAATTGTTTTAGGGTATTTTAGATCTTGGAGAGTGAAAACATTAGCTTGACTAGGCCTTGATATAGGGTTTATTTGTCTTGTAAAAGAAGCATCTTTTTCGTTATTCGGAATCCATTTTCTTATGGAAAATTTGGGATTAAATTGGGTGTTTTTGTTTCTTGTAATGGAATTTATTGGATATGAATATGGAATTTTTTATTGAGTGGAGGTGTTTTTGTTGATGTTTTTCAGGTTGGTTTTTTGGGTGTTAACTATGTACTGTTCATGCTCTTGTCGGTTTTAGTGTGAATATGGTTGATTGATGAAACTTTGTTGGTATTATTGTGGTGGGGATTGCACCATGAAGATATTTACGAGATTCATCAGTGGTTTTGTGGATTGATTGATTGATGGATCTACTACACTGCTGGTTTTTTCTGTTGATTCGTGAAGATGTCAATATGGAACTTTTGTTGACTGTTAGGGGTTTGTAAGTTACATATATAGGCGAAAAGAGAGGAAACCGTGAAAAGAGCAAGGAAAAAAGAATGGGGGAAGCTCTTCTCACTACCCTGACAATGGAGAATTATCACCCATCCACACTTTTGTCAATGGATTCGGGTTCTTTTCCACCAGATGAATTCGAGAGAGAGGTGAACAGACCTATGCTGCTTTCTCAGCCACCTGATATCAATCTTCCGCTATCTTCTGAACCGAGTCCACCTCCACTGGCATGGAATGATTCATGTGACATCTTAGATGTTAGCCTTGCACCTCAGACTTATGAGTCTGAGGCAGTTGTCAATATCCCAAAAGTGGCTAAGAAATGCATCAAGCGTCTTGATAGCGTATGGGGTGCTTGGTTTTTCTTTACTTTCTACTTCAAGCCTGTTTTGAATGGGAAGTCAAAGTCTAAGGTAACTAGGGATGGCAATGGTGTGTCTGGGTATGACAAGTCGGACTTGCAGCTTGATTCATTCTTAGTTCAGCATGATATGGAGAACATGTATATGTGGGTTTTCAAGGAAAGGCCAGAAAATGCACTTGGTAAGATGCAGTTGAGGAGTTACATGAATGGTCACTCTCGGCAAGGGGAGCGCCCATTTCCATTTAGTGTGGATAAGGGTTTTGTCAGATCTCATAGAATGCAGAGGAAACACTACAGGGGTCTCTCTAATCCTCAGTGTTTACATGGGATTGAAGTTGTGCCATCACCAAACCTCTCTAATATCGATGATGAAGAGAAAAGGAGGTGGACAGAGCTTACGGGCAGGGATATAAACTTCTCTATTCCTCCTGAAGCAAGTGATTTTGGAGCTTGGAGGAACCTTACCAACACAGAATTTGAGCTTGAACGGCCCCCTGCTCCTCTAAAGAGTCATTTAAATTCCCACCCTAGAAAATTGCTTAATGGTACTGGTTTGAACTTATCAACTCAGCCATTAGAGCATAGTAATGGTGATGGGATGGATGCATCACCTGTTTGCAACAAGCGGAAAAAGGAGTATTTCCGGCATGGAAATGATGAGGATCCTTGTTTACCTAATAATTTGCATTCTAACCGAGTTTTGGATATGAAAATTCATCCAGTCGAGCCAACATGGTTGAATGAATTTAGCGGGGTAATGAAGAATGTATATGGGCCCGTTACAGCAGCAAAAACAATATACGAAGATGATGAAGGCTTTTTGATCATCGTCAGCTTGCCCTTTTCAGATCTTCAAAGGGTGAAAGTTACTTGGAGAAATACTCCCTCACATGGAATTGTAAAGATATGTTATGTGAGTACAGCCTGCATGCCATTCATTAAGAGACATGACAGGACATTTAAGCTAACAGATCCAACACCAGAGCACTGCCCTCCAGGGGAATTTATTAGAGAAATTCCCCTTCCAAACCGCATTCCCGAAGATGCTAAACTGGAAGCATATCGTGATGAGACAGGAACAATGCTTGAAATTATTGTGCCCAAGCATCGTGTAGGACCAGAAGAGCATGAGGTCCGTGTCTGTCTTCGCCCCTCCCCATGGAGTGAACGAGCATTTATGGACCTGGAGGAATCCATAGTTTAATACATGTAAGGTTGTTAGAGTGGTTGGTGCTTCATTGTTTACTAACCTCATTCCATAAGGAAATCTGTGAAATTAAAGCTGCATTTTTTTTAGATTACATGGGTTTTTCTTCTCATACCTTTTATAATTTTCGATTTATCTTTAGATCAGTCCGTGGTGGTATGTGGGTTGATGATTCATCATAGTTATTGACAATTCATCTTTATTGACTTAATAACTGCTTTACATATGTGGGTTCCTGTGAATTTAACTTAATTTGTGAACTGTGAAATTAGAATTTTGCGTTTTCACTAGGCTTGAAAGGTTAAGTATTGCTTTTTAGGCATGATAGATTTTGTGTTCTCTTTTTGAGAATGGCAAGTATAATATTTCTTCTTCTTTGGAGTAAGAGGGAATGAAAATTGTTTAGTTTGGTACTGCTTGCCGAAGAAGCATTCATGTTCTCATGTATATCATTCATAATGGTAAACCATGGTTTTGAACAAGATGAATGAAGCTGCCTGGTTTTTGTTTTATATGTGGGAATGAAGGCGCCTTAATGTAGTAGGGTGATAGAAAGTTTAATGAAGATTCTTAGCTGTTGAAATTGGCTTTGTATCAAAATCCCAATTTGTCAAGCCAGCCGTAGTTCCAGACTGCATATGTAGTAGTAAGATCCTCACTTAAAATGTTAATTCTATAATCCAAGTTCCCGTTCCAGGATAATGTCGTAGATTTCTCGGGGCGACCACCTTCTTCTAGCCTTGTTACTGTGCCATCATGTTAATTCTATTAGTAATTATGAATTATGTACTTTGTTTCTCATCATGTGGAGATGGCTAGGGACAAGAGACTTTAGAGATTAATTTATTCCTAATAGATATTCTGTAGCAGTCCAAAAACAATTACGAAAAGCTAGCTAAAAGGCAAACATAAGCAAAGTAACTCTACATGCAAAGTTAAGATGTAATGTAACGCATTTATCCGATCCAATTACGTAAAAATTGGAGATTGTATCCATATAAAAAATAAACATAGAATGAAACATAAACGCATGAATACCCAAACAATAAAATTTCTAAAAATAGCACGTAGGCTCAGGACTAAGCAACTTAGTCAACTTCTTCAATTTTGGGACCAGCACCACTGCCGCCAGCTGGAGGAATATCATCAGCCATGCCAGCACCACCCATGTCAGGACCAGCTCCCTGGTACATCTTAGCTATGATGGGGTTGCAAATGCTCTCAAGCTCCTTCATCTTGTCCTCGAATTCATCTGCCTCAGCTAGCTGGTTGCCATCCAACCATTGAATAGCCCCATCAATGGCATCCTCAATCTTCTTCTTATCATCCGGGGAAAGCTTTGAGCCAATCTTCTCATCATTGACAGTGTTCCTCATGTTATAGGCGTAGTTCTCCAAAGCATTCTTCGCCTCCACCTTCTTCTTGTGCTCCTCATCCTCGGCCTTGTATTTCTCTGCCTCTTGGACCATCTTTTCAATTTCTTCCTTGGACAACCTACCCTTGTCATTTGTGATTGTAATCTTGTTCTTCTGGCCGGTAGTCTTGTCC